GTGATGTGATGTGTCATGCTTGAGCAGACTCAGTGCTGTTTGTGTCATTTAAAGGCATTATTATTGCCCTGTCCAGGTTGTTTTCTCTGTTATAGGATGGAAGGGGATTGTCTGTGTCTCCCAGTTTGAGGTCTCTTGATGATTAACTGGAATATTTCTTTTGCTGCACTCCTGTTTGAGAGCTGCTCTTGTATTTAGGTATCAAATCTTAAAAACATTGGCAGGTTATTCCCCTTTTTTTTTTCTTTCCATATGGAACACTTTTTTTTTCTTTTCCCTGGCAGAAACAGGGCATTGCAGAGGACAGTGTCCCACTGGTTGGAGACTGGACAGTCTGCAGGAGTTTTGTGTGTGAGATCTTTTTGCACTTGCTGTGCCCTGAGGAGACCTGTGGGACTCAGGGTCATGGCTTTGGGAGCTTTCTGGCCCTTAGTGCCACAATGTGGGTGTTCTGGGAGGGCTGACTAGTTCCAAACTCTGAGATTCCCTGATTTATTTGAGGCAGGGGTTGTTTTCCTGACCTCTCCATGAGCCTCTTTGCTGCTCCAACAGCTCATGGACTCGTGCAGATCCCCCAACCCAAAGGATCTGATATTTATTCCTCCCCAGATATAATTTCCTGAAGCTGTGCCTTGCATTTGAAAGCTGTGGCTTTAAGTTTGAAGCAGAGGGGGTGTGTGGTAATGTGAAAATACAAAGGAGATTAATCTCCTAAAATGGAGAACAAGGAATAACTCCTGTCTCACCTCCCCATGCTGTGTTGAATCTGTGAGTGAGCCCAGAACAAATGGCAAAGAAACACAAAGAGATGGTCCTGGGAGGGGTTGTGTCAGTGGCAGACCTTGATTCTTGGTGTAATCTTGGGCCTCAAATGGACATTAGATGCTTAATTGTAATTCACTAAAAATGATGTCAGTCTCAGGAGGTTGTTTGGATCTTTTTGGAAACAGAGCACAATTGATTGCTGCTCTCACCACTCCTGGGTTTCATTGGTTACGGCTGTTGTTGTGTTTTTTTTCTTTTTAAATTAAGAATTACAGGGAACAAATGCTACTTAAGTTGGCTCTTACCTCTTGAATCTTTAATTCTGAGCCCACAATTGATTGTGATGAAGCTGTTCTCTCTGGAATGGCCAGCAACTTGAGGCTGCTTCAAAAACTTAATAATTCATTCCTATTTCTGCATACTGTAATACAATAGGTTATAAATCACTAATGTCATGCCCCTAATCAGGCATTGTCAGTGGGACTTTGGAGATGTGGTGGTGTGATATGTGAGGGCTTCTTAGCTCCAAATATGAAGATAAATTCATATTTTTCTCTAAGCTTACAGTGCTGCCTTAATTGTTTTGTTGCTCCTTTTCCCTCTGAAGTTTTCCAGTGCACTGATATTTCAGGTGGGCAGTGTGGCCACTAAAGTGGTGTGTGGGGTTTTAGTGGAGTAGAAACTCAGTTGTTTCCAAAAGAACCCACAGAAAACAAGCATTTTGTTAAGGGTTTGGGGCTTTTATACCCTCAGTAGTACAAAGGGTGAATAAATATATTTGTTTAGCTAAGAATTTAATCTCAGTGCAGGCCTATATCGACTTAAAAGTTTGTATTTCAGGTGCTATATAAATAATTTTATATTAAATGTAATTTTTACTTATAAATTTATTGTAAAATCATAGAATATCCAGAGTTGGAAGGGAGCCATCAGGATCCAGTCCAACTCCTGGCTCTACACAGGACACCCCAGGAGCCCCTCCGAGCGTTGTCCAAACGTGGATATGTGAGACACACGTATCAAAATTTGATTTTTTTAGGTCAGCAGGACGTGGAAAATCCTTGCAGAAGACGAAGTGCTGTGGTACAGGCTGTGCCAAGAGGAGGGATACCTGTTGGATATGAGCATCTCCGACCAGTCCTGCTGGAAAGTCGCCCTCAAGAACTGCCGGGCCCGGGAGCGCACCTTGAAATACAACTGGAAGGTGAGAGGGGGGCTCTTCAGTGGCATCCAGGTGCTGTAGAAAAATGGGAACCTGCTTCCAGCAGGTGGGAGGGAAAAGCTGGAAATCAAGTCTCCAAGCAGTTTGTTGGGTTAGAAAGCTGACACTCCTTTATGAAGGGGAACAACTCTGTGTTATTGGGGATAACTCCACGTGTCATCTACACCCAGCAATCCAACAGCCCAGGTTCTGGTCACGAAACTAAGACATGTTCATCACATTTCTATTACATATTAATTATATTTCCTGCATACATGCATGTGTGCTAATAATTTCTTGGATATGGTTCCAGATCTTCTAAGGAATCTCCTTTCCTTGAGAGTATCTCAAATATGTGGTCGGGTCATAACATACCTCTCTTACCATCCTTTGCTCTGACACACAGCTAAGACACCTCCTAGTACCTGTTAATCACTGATACAGGGAAATAAGGAAGCAACAGCTGGCACAGATGGAGGGATCAAACACTGTTGTACCAAAGTTAAAAGAATTTCCCAACGTCTTCTCCCAGTGCTGCACAGAATCCTTTTGGAAGGAATATAACCGTGTATTGCTGGTGGGAAGGTGGGAGCTGCTGAGGGATTTATGGGATAGAAGTGCCTTTCCTCTCAGCTGTGCTGCTGCAGCAGCAAAAGCAGAGCTCAGGGTTTTCCACCTGGGGGGTTTTGGGGGATGAAGGAGCTGGAATTCCATCCCCCTTTGTCCTCTGTGGCAGAACCGGATCGGAGCCGTGAGCCAGCTGAGGTACGAGCTGGGGAAGGTGCTGTGTGATGTCCACTCCTGGGATGGAGTTGTCATTGCTGGGTGAGTGTGAGGCTGTGGAAGGCCCATTTTATCTTCACCTTTTGATATGTCTCCTGTGCTACTTTCAACACCTTCAAAAGCAACACCCCCTGGAGGCAACAGGATGGATTTACCTGGCTGCAGTTCCTCCTGGTGAGAGACTGTCCTCAAATGCCTGGTAATGATGGTTATCCTTGGATAAACTGCCCTTAAGTGACTGATAATGTCGGTTATCTACAAATTATTTCAGCAGTGCCAGTTTTTATTGTACTCTTCTAAAGTTATCTCCATTATCCCTATACATGTAGTCCCTGTAAAGTGCTTTCTGATGAACTGTGTCTATTGGTTTGCTGGGGAAGCACCCAGAATGTGTTAAACATTGTCCACATCTACTCTCTTTTTGTTATTTTCCCCCTAAAAATCTCTTAATCACAAGGATATCTTGTCACAGCCCACAAAAATAACTTTAAAAGGACTTGCTGCCTTTCTCCATTGTTAATAACCTACCCAAAAATAGATAAACTCGAAGTTTTCTTTTCCCAATATAAAGCTTTTTCTGGACCTTGATTTAATACTAACCATTCATTTGGTTTACACACTTAAATACAATTTTAAGAGCCTCACAAACTCTCTTGACTGTCTAAATAGGTGTAAAGTTTAACTGTTTTCTAGTTCAGTTTTACAGGTTCAGTAATTAGTAGCCCCTCTATAAGTCACACGAGTAATTAAAATTCATCTGGGGGCAGTCAGGGCACACTGTCCTTAACATACCAGAATTCCATACTTTATAGTAACACTTCATGTTAATGCTCTGCTTCAACACTGTGGGATTAGAGAAAACCACTTGTAAAATACTATAAAATTCACAGCCTGGTTATAAGAAAGGTGCCTTGAAAACCCTCTCAGACACAGAAATGCTTTTGAGTGCTCTTGGGCAACTGAGCAGAAATCTAAACTGTCAGCAGGAGTGAAAAGAGCTGGTTTATTTAGAGGTTTTTTTCTTTTACTGGATGTTCTTCCACTAATTGCCCTTCTCCATTTGCAGCTCTCCCTTTCTGTTCTCTTTGCCATCCTGTTGATCCTCCTTCTGTGCCTTCCATGTGATGTTCTGCTGCTCTATCCATTGTGTTTGTAATCAGACAGGCAATATAAGGAAGTTAGGCAGAATAAATTACATTTCCAAAGTATTAATAAAGGCTATCATCACTTTAATACGAATACTTTAAATAACAAGGGTTATTAATCCTGCCTGTCAAACTCAGACAGTCCATATTTAGCTTGGTGTGTTACAGAAGTTGGGTTGAAGCTGTCTTCTCACACACTCTTTTCATACTGGTTCCCCAGTTCCTCCAGTATCTCTTGATGCTTTTGGTGAGTTTGCATCAGTCACGTGAAGGGAGGTGGTGCCAATAAATAATTCAGGTTCCTGAAAATAGGTGAGCAGGTAAGAGACCTCTGAGGGAAAAGCTGCCCGTGTGTACGCTGTAGAAAAAGCAGTGTTCATTTAAATTACCCTCCAGGAATTTCTCTTCTCTGAGAAAATGAATTCTCTTTTTATGAAGCTGGGAGAACGTGTTTGATAAAGCAACAATCGGAATTCAGCTGTTTGCCTTTCCCTGGTTTAGTAAATGAAATGTTTGGAATATTACAACCCAAAAGTGATGCCCTTTGCTATTCACTGCTTGCCCTTCACTCTGCTCTGGTGGCTGGAGATCTCTGAAAGCCTCTCTTAATTTGATAAGTGGTAAATAGCAAATGAGAGAACTACAGCTTCCAAGGACATTAGCAAATGGTGCAGGGAAAGACTTTGTTATGTGCATTTGGTAAGTATTTATGATATGTAGATTGAGGGACTCATTGGGGGTTTTGTTGTTTGTTGTATTTTATCTTTTTTTAAAACCAAACATAACCCTCCCCTTTCTCTCCCAGCTTGTAATATTGTACTTAATGGCATTGTGCTTTCAGATCTGCCATAAAAGTGTAATGAATCTGGTGATCAATAGCAAACTGTTGCGTTCTTTCAGTCCTGAACAAGTAATTTAATAGCTGAGGTTTACAGAGTCAATTCTCTTCTCAGTATAAATATCAATTATCTGTTACATTTAATGATTCTCTCTCCAGTTTCACAAACACTTCTGGGCTCAGCTTTGCACGTGAATGATCAGTGGTGGCAGTCAGACTTGTCCTGGGTGTAAGCAGAGCTGGTGTGTGACTTTGCAAGGCCTGAGGAGCTGGGGGTGCTCCTGATGTTAATCCAGCACTGGGGGGCATTTCCTGGGGTTTTCCTGAGCTGTGCCACTCAGTGTTTAGCAGGGTTTTGGATCACAGCTCCCTCAGCTGCTCCTGCTGCTCCAGCCCCTTCCCCAGCTCCGTTCCCTTCCCTGCCCAGGCTCCAGCCCCTCCATGTCCCTCTTGTTTGGCCTTGGCTCCCTCACCAAGCACCCAAGACCACAGCAAAGGGCTTCCCCCCTCCTTTTATGAGCACAGGGGAAAGAAAGGGAAGAAGAAAAAAACTACTGAAAGACAGAAATAACAGAACCAAAGCAGTATATATATATTTTTTACACTTGTATGCATGTAGTTTTTGTAACTGTATATAAGAAAGAGAACCCCAACACCTCAAAAAAACAGAAAAACAGGTATACACAGCCAGTAAAGAACTAGCAAACGAAATCTTAATACTTTCCTTAAGAAAGCAGAGTCCACACCACCAGATTTCTCCTCTCAAATCAGGAAGAAGCAACAACCTCTCAAAACCTTACAGGCCTGCACTCCCACACGAGCAGCCCAGCCACAGGGAGGTTGCTGTGCTTCCTCCAACTCCTCCTCTCCGAGAAGAGATCTCCCTTCCAGCTTCCTCCCCCCTTCTATTTATATTTCTGCTTATGTAAAGAACAGAATGGAATATTGGGATATGGGGACTTCCTTAGTTTCGACCTGGTTGCCAGGAAGAGGCCTAAACCAAACCACTGCAGGGGCCCAGAGCTGCCCCCAGGGCTGGAGGTGCCCCAGAAGTGCCAGCACAGGGATGGGCCCTGCCCTGGGGCTGGGATACAGCAGGGCTGGCACAGCCCAGGGGCCACTGGCCACTTACCCAGCTGTCAGCCATCTCTCCAGCTCCCTGTCCACCTTGTCCAGCCATCCTTCCCCAATCCTGTAGCATTCCATGGGGTTCCAAGGGTAGGACCCACCATGTCACCTTGTTGCTGTTCTGCTCCATAACTTCCCCTGGCACTCAGGTGAGGCTGATTCCTTGGATCCTCCCTCCAGCCCATCTTCTGGGTGGGCACCACTTCCAGTCACCCAGTGAGCCAGGACTGCTGGGAAATGGTGCAAGGTGGCTCAGTGAGCTCTTTGCCAGGTCCCTCAGCACCCTTGGCTGGATCCCACCTGCTCCAGGTACCCGTCTGTGTGCTTCCCTTTGGACTATGGGCGCTTCATCCTGCTCCCATCCCTGCCTTCCACCTGAGAACAACTGGCCTAACTGTTAAAGAACACGTCAAGTCCCTCAGCCTTTTCCTCATCCTTTGTCACATGTTCCCCCCGAAGCAGTAAAGGATGGAGATTCTCCTTAGCCCTCCTTTTGTCGCTAATAGAAACATCCTTAATGGTCTTTTATGGCAGTACTCAGATTAAGTTCTAGCTGGAGAGAGTAGTTCTAGTTGGACAGAGGGGTTCCCCAGGAAAAAATGCCGGGGCTGGTGTGTTTTGGGAGCCTTGGAGCAAGCCTGGAATCAGTCTGATTTGATCTGAACCTGTGCTGTGATAGACCTGACCTTGTGTTCATCGCTGTACTCCTTCAAACTCTGCTGGGGAGTGGAAGAATTTCTATTCTGGCTGCTGTAGAGCTTTTTTTTCATCTTCCCACAAGGAATTCGCACAGGCTGTGGGCAGAGTTAAACCAGCAACCACGAGTGGGATTTATAGAGGCACCCCTTGTCCGAAGTGGTTCGGGAGCTCGGCTTATTAATTCCGCGAAGGAAGCAAAAGATAAACTTGACGGGATGAGCTCTCCCTTGGAAAAACACCCCTATTCCATGCGCTCTCCTGCCTTCCCGCTGCCGCCAAAGCCGGAGCCAGGAGATGGCAGAGTATCCAGGCTGGATGGAGGGAAGGTGGCCGAGCGGCTCCCTTTGTGCCCGCGTTCCGGGCTGACATCACATAACTCAATCAGGGCGGCGCGCCCTGTGTTGATCATTAAAGTTTCATCCCGGCGGTTACGACGCTTGTTTTCTGGGTCAGCCCTCGAGTCCCTTTTCATTTGAGCCGGCGGTGGTTGTGGTTACCTCACTCCCGATCGATGGCCAGCCTTTCTCGGGTTACTCGTCTCCGAGGATCCTCTCCGGAGGTTCGATGGCCCTCCTCCCCCCTCCCCGCCCTCAATTCAAATGGAGTTTCGGCTTTAAGTCGGGCCTTACTTAAAGCAATTATACGGCTGCTTGCTTGGCTTTTATAAATCACCGAGGTTCGCTGTACCTGATGCTGTCATTTGCTTGGCTTCTGTGCAGAATGCCTGCGTTTCTTCACTTTCTCTTAATAAAACCTGAATTTCTCGGGGCTTTTTTTTCATGCTCAGACAGCAGAACAGCTACTTTTTATGCCACCTTCTTTTATTCTTGGCAGTGCTGACAGCCACACCGATGGGCATTTGTAGTCAGGGGTTGGTTCCTCCTGGAGATGATCTGGGAGCATCTGGTGCTCGTTTGAACTCTTGTCATCACACAGGGGATCCCGTGGTGTGACATGGCCGGGGCATGTTGTGGCACTGTCGTGCTGTCTGTGTGAAATACCTGTTCCTGAGCCACCTGGTGAACTTGCCCTGTGCTGGTGACAACCACCTCCCCTCAGGGCTGGCCCCTAAACCCACACCAAGTCGGGCTGGGGTTTTATTGTGCAGTATGTTCACTTTGTAACGCTTGCAGAAAGGGCCCTGTGGCTTTACTGCTGCTCTTGGTAGCTCTGAAAACAAACAGGGGAGGCCCAGAGCCAGAACACCCTTCCAAAGACCCAGAAACACCAAA